TTCTTCAGGTTTTACCCGTTCAATCTGTTTTACTGGCAAAATCAATCAGTTAGGAGAAGGCTGGAGCCCCTCTCCTTTCCTCTCTAGTTTTCGATCGAGAGGATAGAAACATACGGATAAGGGGGTGGAGGTGGGTGGAGGGGGAAGGGGGAACACTTCAATTTTTAGTACGGCAAAGCAGCTTTCCGTCCTGCTACGTGTATCTGGCTGGCATTCGTACCATATGTGTGTTGTGTGTGTGTGTGTGTGTGTGTGTGTGTTTATTGTTGTCAGCAGTTGCATCAATGAAGAAAACCCATTCTTGAGGTCTGTCGCTTTCTCATTAACTTTATTCCTCATTCTCTTGGAAAACATAACACATTAGAAAAAGCCAAAATAAAAAGTTGAGGTTGTTTGAGTTGGTTTGTCAACCATTCCACAGACAAAACAAAGCAATTGCAAACTGAACTGTTGAGAAGAATGCAACTGTCCAAACCAACCGCCACGTCCACGGCCACATCCATATCCAACCACAGCTTCATGTACGGTAGATCCTATCCCATCCGCACCCTCTTTCTTTGGCTTGGGCATTTTCCGCAGCCCGATCGATCAATGTGAAACGAGCAGCCCGCCAGCTGGGGTACACGAGATGCTGTACACAGTGTACATACAGTACTTACTGCACATGTATCTGTCCAGCACATGGAGTGAGCGCATTTCGCCCCTTAATCCCCCCAACCCCCCCACAAAAAAAATAAAAAATAAAAAAAAAAAAAAACTACTAAATTTGGTATATACCTCAATTAATCAGGTGGAAAAAACCCGGGAGCTATTTGGTTACTCCTTTCTTTGGTCAGTAAAACTTAAATAATTTCGCTTTCTCTACAGCGTGAATAGGTTGTCAAAATGAAGCGAAGGCTAGATAGAAGCAGATTTATTATTTGCAGGACAAAGAAATACATATAAATGAGCTAAGAGTTCATTCTTCCTGGCTGGGACATCTCTATTATCACTATCATTCATTATATTGCTTTATAAAAAGGATTGGGGTGGCTGGAAGACAACCCAAACACAAACTTGTATCAAAAACGGACAGACAAAAAAAAGTCACAAAAATGATATTTAAATTTCCAAGGAGATTCGTGTCATAACAGTCGTTAAAATAAATAGTAATGATAAAAAAAGAAAACGGAATAAACATGGTAATAATTTTTTTGTGGGGGATGGAAGAGCAGAAACGAAGTGAAACAAAATGAGAGAGCGATACGAAATATGGATGACAAAACAGTTAACAACAGTCACATTAACAGTAAAAAGGAGGCTTGCGAGATCATTCATTTCATAAGACGTTGGCGATTTTATCTTTTCAAAAAAGGGGTCTGTGGAGAGAGGAAAAAAGTTAACTCAACCTGTTTCCAAAAGGCCAACACACACAGAGAAGGCGGAGACAACACAAAACAATCAAGACACGATAGTAGTAAAGCGAAAAATAAAGCACGATTAGGCGAACAG